AGCTATGGGAAAATGGCATTTGGGGACAAGGATGTAGGAACTCCCCCACCGGTAAGTCAGCCTATATGTGAGGGCAGAGGCCCGGATGGAGTCCCCAGAGACACGGATGTTGGGAAGGGCCTCAGCAAGGCCTCTGAACCTGAGACTCAGTCCATCCGCAGCCAGTCTCAGCTAAGGTCGGGGGCCCTCGTGTGGTGCCCCCAGGGAAGAGCACCAGCAGCACGGAGCCTCAGAGCCCAAGGGTGGGCTCCACATAGGCACTGGGGAGGGGGCACGCATAAGGAAGAGGTGACATCCTCACTCCCCAGTGTGCAGATGAATATGTGCGCCACTACATGATGCGTGTCACTGATGTTTATGTCAACGTACACACGCCTTATGTGCCTGCACGTGTATCACAGGCATGTGCAGAACAGACATTTATCTATACATGTGGGGGGCATTGTATTATTACATACACACACATCCATATGTATGCCTGCATGCTCTTATGTGTCTGGGTCTCACTGGGTACATAGGTGTGCGTGCTTCTGCGTGCGCCATTGCACATATATCTACTTGTTGTGGTGTCGTATGCTGTGATGTGCATGTGAGGCTGTGGTTGTGTGAGTGTATAAATCACAACGCGTATATTATGGTAAATGTACAGGAATGCCATTACATGACGTTATACAATATATAATGGCACAAGCTCATACAGTCACGTAAGTATGTAATGACATACAATGACATGTTTTTATTTCTATCTAGACATATACATCATCATGTCTTTATTGTATATTTATCATGTATGAACCTGTTACTATCGTGTACATGGATGGAACCAATGTGCTTATTGTGTGAATGTCACCGTGTATTTGTATGCTCTTCTATCCATGACATACATCATGTGTTTATATCATGTGTGTACTAGTGAATGTGTCCTGTGTGTGGATCCCTGTATCATTGTGTAACATGGCGGCCATGTCACCTGTGTCTACACCATTGTGCACATGTGTTGATAGCATATGTATGAGGTCCTGTGTGTAAGTGCACACTCGTGCTGGTGTGTGCTTTGCATATTAACATCTGCCTTTGTCTGTGTATAAGATGGTTTTTGTGTGAGCCACGATGTGTTTGTGCCCAATTCTTATAGTATCAAGGACCCCCTAGACTTTCTTAGATGAGAACTGGAGGTAGGCAGCTTTCAGGCTGAGGGTGGAAAAAGCAAGCTGAGGGCAGGGCAGTGCAGGGCCAGAGTTGGGGGTAAAAAGTGAGAGGGCCCCTCATAACCCGCCCCCACCTCCCAGGTCCTGCCTGCTTTCCTCGGTTTGCTGGGAGGTCCTCACCCCAGGCACGCCCTTTCTCTCCAGGCCACGGCCCGACCAGGCCCAGACCCTCTTCTGGTCTCATAGGCAGAGCCAAACCCGTTTCTCCCAGGAGAAAGGGTGATTCTCCCTCCCGGCCCTTCTGTGCATCGGCCCCATCCATGTGCCTACTGAGCCCATCCCCCCAACCCAACCCCAGCAACGGAGTCTCAGACAAAAGAGAAGCAGAGTCCATTCTTTATTAGTGTTGGGGTCCCTGGCATGCCCCCCACATTCCCTTCCACAACCCCTCCCTTCCCGCCTCTTCCTCATCCCGGCATATGCCCACTCTTGGCTGGGCCGCGCACGGGGGCCTCCCCCCCAAGCTGCGCCGGGTCCAGAAGTCCTCCCGGCCTGCCCTCGGGAGGCAGAGCAGCTGATGCGGCATTTCCCCGGTTTGCCGGAACCAGGAGGACAGGCCCTGGGGAGCGGTGGTGGCCTGGCGGGGGGTCTGGGCGGGGTGGGGAGGGCGCCTGAGGGGCTCACCTGTCATGCACAGTCCTGAGCGCGGAGGAATCTGGTGGCGGGCGGCGGTAGCGGCGGCGGGTTCTCCGAAGCCCACAGTACACTCATCCATAAAGTAGGAAACACTACACCCTCCAGTGCTGTTAGTAGTGCTTTCTACTTTATGGGTGACTGCACTGTCTGTCTGTCCGTCTGCAGGTACTCTTCAGGCGGCCCGCTCCTCCTTCTGACTCCTGCTTCGAGGGCGCCCCCCGACCCTCCCCACTGCTTCCTAAGACCCCAGCGCCCTGCCCCATGGCCCCCCGAGGGCCCGCCCTGGGCCTTGTGGGCGGTGACTCAGCATGGCGCCAGATCTTCCCTCCTCTACCTCCCTCCCCCCACTTCCTCTTTGGTTCCCTCTTCCCTTCCGTCTAGGGCTCCACCCCATCCCCCTACTTTCAGAGACCCTCAGGTAGAGGCCATGGACACTCGGGAGGCGTCACCTTAGCCCCCAGTTCCGAGCCCCTGGGTGACCCCTTCCAGCCGTACTACCCACCCTCCAGAGTCAGACCCAAGGTCTGGGTCCCCAGCCTCCTCACCAGCCCGAGGCCCCGACTCCCTCACCGCCCGCCCAGCGGCTCCCCGGACAGCAGCCCAAGGTTGTCTGGACGGAAATGGTGGCCATGTTGGGTGGAGGGAGACACTTAGCACCTTTTACTGACGCTGAGTCTCACTTTTCAGCCTATGCCCACCCTCTGCCTTCCTCACCCTACTCTCCAGCCCTGTCCTTAAGGCCTTGGATCCCTCTTCCTTCATCGGGGGTCCAGGAGCCATTTTAGCTTCCTCGTCTAGAGGGAGGTCAAAGCCCAGCATTTAGAGGAGCTGTCCCACCATGAAGATCTAGTAGATCTGAGGGTTCTTTGCCTCTTTGCCTAGAGCTTTGCTAGGAAGCCTTGGCACCCAAGCTTCCAAAGCCCCTCCCCAGGGCCTCTCCACCCAAGCATAGAACCCAAGCCCCTCATCACCCACCCCTGGAGGCCCAGAGTCAAGGAGCCCATTGGGGGCCGAAGTGAAGGTTCAGACCCTTACCTGATGCTGCAGGGCTGAGGGGAACTGGCCCTGTGCTCCTGGCTCCCAAGTGGGGTTCCCGTCAGGGCGGGCAGGGCTTATAACCCCGAGACCACGTGGGCCAGATCTCAGGGCGCCCAACGGTCTTGGAGCCCGCCCCCACACCACAGTGGAGATTAGCAGCCCCTCCCCTCCCTGGGGAGGACAGACTGACAGGAAACCAGAAACAAGGCTGGGTATTGGCGGGAGGGGGGGCTGAAGAGACCATCGCACACACCCTGGACAGGTGGCTTCCGGGCCCCCAGGCCTGCCCTTCCCCCATGGCACCAGCTCTGGGACAGTTTAAGAATCCAGGAGTGCCACAGGGCACTGGGGGTGACCCCAGGAGCTAAGGACTCCCTGTCAGGGCCTTCGGTGAGTGCCCAAAACAGAGTCCTGAATT